GGCTCCCTGCTCCACGGGAAGCCTGCTTCTCCCTCTGCCTCTGCCCCTCCTCCCTGCTCATGCTCTCTCTCTCTCTCTGAGATAAATAAAAATCTTAAAAAAAAAAAAAAAACTTAAAAAAAAAAAAACACCTGCATGGGATCACATCCCTCCTCGTGCTCTACAGTTCCCACCTCACTGGGAACAAAATCCTAGCTCCTCCCCATGGCCTGTGAGGCCCTTCAGAACCAACCTGTCCCCCTTCTGTACCCACAGCCATTGCCAACATAGTGGCCAAGTCTGGTTGGGGGCAAGACTGGGAGGGTGCTGAGGTCTCCAAGGAGCAGGCAGAGAGGCAGGGAGGAGGAGGAGGGTCAAGGTGGAAGGGTGGGGTAAGAATATCCTGGGACTCCCAGTGTGGAGCAAGGAAGACAGCACCTGTCCCTTCACCAGCAGGACTGAGAGCCCGATGGGCTGGTGCAGGGGCAAGGGGTGGCAGATTCCTGCAGGGGGTGCAGGTGGTAGTAAGGGAGGAGGAGGGGACAGAGAGGGCTTCCCATTGAACTCCTTGAGGGCAGGCTAGTGTGGACTCTGGACTCTGAACGGGCGGAGGAGGGAAGAACTGTACTTGGGAGCCCCTTGGGGCTGGGTGGCTGCTGGCCTCTCTTGAACCCCAGCTCCACCTCCCAGCAGCCATGACCTCCTGAGCCTCGGCTGCAGTGACAAGACCACTCAGTGTGGCTCAGAGAGGACAGATGGGGAACTCTGCTCCTACAGAGGCTCAGAGGGTGTGCATTTTCCTCTCCACTCATCCTCCAGGAAAAACAGGCCATCGCAGAATAGTGTGGTGGGGGGTCCGCTAAACAAGGAGCAGGTGTCCCTCCGGGGATGGGGTCTCAGGCTCTGTCACCCCCACAGGGAGGGGGATCTGAGGGGGAACAGGTCAGACCTGGGTGAGGGGAGCCTCAGACCCGAAGGGTGGATGGCAGCATCCTGAGGGTGGATCCCGGGCCTAGGGTGGGCAGAAGCCCCCGCCCTTTGCCCCCCTACCCCTGAGGGCCAGGCGCCGGGCACCGCTTCTTCCCACCCAGACCCTGCCCCAAGGCACCCCTTCAGAGGGGCAGTCGGGCCTGTCAGGGTCTCAATCTGGCCTGCCTGGCTCAGATAGGGATTTCCTACCGGCTCTCAGCAGAGCCTGCCTGCCCTCCCAGGTCACCCCCTGCAGAGCCTCGGGCGTCTGAAACGGTTCAGCTACTCCTGACACCCTCCACCTCCGAAGGCCTCTCTGGGGCAGCCACTCAGCAATGGCCCGCGCTGCCCCTTCCCTCCGGCTTCAGCCTCCAGCCCCGCCCCCGCTCTGCCCCTGCTCCTCTCGGTGCTTGCTTGAGAAAAATCATCCCTGGAAACCAAACCCAGGAACACAAAATAGGTGTGGGAAGCGGCGGCCCCTCCTCAGCAACAATTTCCAGAGGATTCTGCGAAGCAGAGTTTCCATGGGAACACGTGCGGTTCCACACAGAACCTCGGTGGGGCTGGGGTTCCCCGTCACAGCGAGTACTGCGGGACCATGGCCTGGGGGCCACGGCCCAGCACAGCCACTGCGTTTTGGCCACCAGCCCTCACGAGCCTGAAATCAAGCTACGGGCAAATCTGCCTTTTTTTTTTTTTTTTTTTTTAAGCATTCTAATTTAAAGGCGCACTCACTCTAAGAATGCCTCTGGGATTTCCAGGATGGATTTTTATGTAGCTCAATCGTTTCCTTGGCAGACCGCTCACCCAGGAGAGGTGGGCCGTGGCCCCAGCCCAACCAGGCTGACAAGGCCAGGGGACATCACTTACCCACCTGAGGGGCGTCCTCACACCCAGATTCAGACTCCACGAGTCGGGGGCACCAGCAGGAGGCGCTGGGCCCCCTTCCTTGCTAGGCTCCTTCCTTGACCCGCGGTCCTAATTTCGGCCTGTGAGCCTTGACCACCAGCCGGTCAGGCCCTTACTCTCTGCTCTCGGCATTTTGTGTGTGTTTATCTAAGCGGGCTACACAGACGGTAAAATTCCCTCTGATGCTCCTGCCAGTCGCAGTCTCCATCCCAGGCCCCTCCCGGGGCGACCCCTGGGTCATCGGGGTGTGTTTTTTTTTTTTTTCAGGCTGTTTTCATTGCATCCACATACATATATGCATATATCTGAACATAGACAATTTATAGGGCTTGTGCGGGGTTCTGAAAGCTTAAATGGGATCATTCTGTAGGTGTTGTTTGTGCTTGCTTTGTTCATGCAGCCCCACGTGGTGGGGATCTGCCTGTGACAGCGCACAGAAGCTGCCAGACTCCTTAATTACAGCAAAGGATTTCACAGTACCCATGGATCCTAATTTAACCAGGGCCCTATAAATGGCCTTTTCGGTTGTTTACAATTTCCAGCCTCACAGAAGGTGCTGTAGGGAATATCCTTGGACATAATTTGCAGAACTTTCTCCGTGGGAAATGACGAAAAGGACTCGCTGGGGCCCAGGGTGTGGACATTTACTATTTTAGCAGACACTGCCAAGTAGTCACGCACAGAGTGTGTACTGTTTCCGTTCTTCAAGGCTTCTATCTGCACTCTCTCATTTAATCCTGAAAAACACCCTGCAGAGTGTTGGTGGGGGGCTTGTCTCCCCAACTTACCAAAGCAGAAACTATGATTGAGAGAGAGGGGCTGAAGGTCATATAGCCCAGAAAGGGCAGCACTGGGCTGCTTTCACCGTGTGTGGTCTTTCGGACTCCGTGGGTCAGATGAAGCGGGGAGGGGTTTGCACAAAGTGTCTTAGATAGACTCAGTGCCCCCAGGGCTGGGGAAGTCCTTGAAGGGACAAATTTCTGCCAAAGATACACTGTTAGCCTTACATTGCTCAGAATTGTAGGGGGTGGGGCGGGGGTCATTCTTCCCCACAGTCAGTCTATCTTTGGCGGGGAAACGAAGGCAGGTCTGTAGAGGTTGGTGGAGCTGGGCCCACCCAGCAGACAGCACACACTGTGGGGCCTGGCTTCAGGCAGCCTAGACATTTGGATCCCTAGCCTCCCCTGGAAATTTCCGGACACAACACGCCTAGAGGTGTGAGCCGCCTCTTGGAAACTTTCTAATCTGGGATAATGCTGCTGTAATTGGCAATGTTTTGCATTTACAACCCTCTCGTTACCTGAAAACCTCCTTCCAATGGCTGTATCTGGAGAGGATTTAAGTTTACCACTCTGTGGACCTTGAGGGCCTGAGGAGCACAGGTTTTTTCTCTGTGCCCCTTCGCCCACCCCATTCTGATTCCCTGGTGAGTGCCACAGGCAGGCCTGGGTGGCCCAGGCTGGCTGAGCTCATGGCCTCGGTTCAGGGCACAGCTCCCTACAGGAGCCCCAGGCTGATCAGGGGACAGCTGTTCTCCCCAATTCCCCCTCCTTCCTGGGTCCAGCCCACCCATCTAGTCTCCCTTCAACCCCTTCTCCTTCTGTCACTTCCCAGTCTCTGCCACCAAACTGATCTTTCAATAGCACAGAGCTGACCATGCCTCTCCCCTCTCAAAACCCTGTAGTCCCTCACATTTATTCATTTCAACAAAGGGGCCAAGATAATGCAATAGGGGCAAAAACAGGCTTTTTAGTGCTGGGAGATATGGACATTCCCATGCGAAAGGATGAAGCTGGACCCCTACCTCACACCCTGTGCAAAACCTCACAGTGGCTTCCGCTGTCCACAGGGTGGAACCTTGACTCCTCAGCCCTGTACTTAGGGGTCTTACAACCCTTTCATTGTTTTAACACTCGTCCAGCTCCAACTTTGTGCCAGTGCCTGTGCTGAGACTGGGATAAGAGACAGATGCTTCTGTCCTCATGGAGTCCATCAGCCTTGTTTCTGACCAGCTCCCACTGGCCCAGGCACCCCAAGCCCCGTCCATGCTCCCACCCACAGCTGCAGTTCACCGAGATGCCAAGCTCACCACCTCTGAACTTGTGCTCCTCCCATTTTCTCTGTCCCAAGGCCCTTCACCCCATTCCTTGCCTGAGGAATTCCTGCTCAAATGCCACTTCCTCTATGAGGCCTTCCTTCAACCCTCCTCCCCCACCAAGCAGTTCATCCATTTCTCACTGCTCCGACCTCCTTGAGTTGAATCGGTTCACACACAGCCATCTCCCCCAGCAGACTCCGAACTTCCTGAGCATGTGAAGATGCTGTGTGTTTCTCCTTGTGCTTGACTCATACGAGGGGCTCAAGAGCCATTTGTTTAAAGAATAAGTGAACTTGGGGCACCTGGGTGGCTCAGTTGTTAAGCGTCTGCCTTCGGCTCAGGTTATGATCCCAGGGTTCTGGGATCGAGCCCCGCACTGGGCTCCCTGCTCCACGGGAAGCCTGCTTCTCCCTCTCCTACTCCCCCTGCTTGTGTTCCCTCTCTCGCTGTGTCTCTCTCTGTCAAATAAATAAGTAAAATCTTAAAAAAAAGAATAAGTGAACTTTTTCCTTTGCTGGCGATTTAGTGCCCGTTCTTACTGAAAGAGGAAGAATGATTTTATTTTCCAGTTTCCAGAAAGTGATCTCTAGCACGTGATCCATTTTATATAGGTGAAAATTGAAACAGATATGGTGCTCCATCCGTACCAGGAGAGGTGAGGCCATGAACGTGCAGGGTCTGGAAGTCCGGCACCGGCGAGGCAGACGGGAGGGGGCAGGCTCCATGTGGAGTGGTTGGAGGCCCAGGCACACGAGAAAGAGAAAGGCGAGAGCTGAGAGCGAGAGCAAGCAGCGGCCTCTGGCTTCACCTCCCGGCTCCCAAAGCTGTCAGAGGCTCCGATCGATGACACGTGCCTGTGGAGCTTGCATCAGGGGCTGCGAGCCCTGTTAGGGTGGTTCTGCTAATTGATCCCAGAAGCCCTTGTCACTGCCAGGGGAAGCTTTAGCCGGCTCAGCAATGTTCTGACCACTGTCCCTCGCCTCACCAGATGGCCGTTCCTCCTGCCTCAGCTGCCTCTAGGCTAAGCCAGACAGCCCTGACCATGCAGGACCTGGGATCCTCCGAGCAGCCAGCAGCACTGATCCCGTGGCATGGTGCAGCGTGGGAGCACTGAAGAAGCCCCTTGTGGGTCCTTATCTTCTGGCCAGGTCAGAACCCCCCAGACAATGGCTAGATTGGTAGGGGAGACTCAGGGCTGCTCAGGCCTTAAAAACGCCCTCTTCTCTGACCTCTCTGGACTCAACCTCAAATGCCTCTCACCTGCCTCCATCAGCCTCATGGCCGACTGCCTCCTGTGGGCAGGAGCCCTCAATTGCTGTGTATTGGGAGTGAAGCCAGGAGAGCTGCCCCCTTGACCTGTTAGGAAAATTCTGGCCAGGGGCAAGTCCCAGGGGGCAGGGAAGGAGACTCTGGAACTGAGTGACCAGGTCCAGAAATAAAGATGCTAACTGTGCTGATACCAAGTGAGGCCTGAGTTCCCACACCTTGGCCCTCCTCAGCCTTGTGCGGTGGGTTATCCTGCCTCCCGGGATACAGTGAGGAAGCTGGGAGAGGCTGAGGAGAGAGACAATCCCAGGCTGGCCTGGTCCCATGGCTGGTGCTCCCACCCCACAGCTCAGTGCTGCAGGGCACCTCTGTCTTCTCCCTGGGTTCAAGCCTGGAGTGGGAGATTGCCGAGAACTTTAAGATGCTCCAAAAAAACCCGGCCCTGCCTTGGAGGAGGGGGAATGGCTGCTAATGGGTATGGGGTTTCTTTATGGGGTGATGAAAATGTTCTAGAATGGGATAATGGTAATGGTTCCACAACCTTGTGAATATGCTAAAAGCCACTGAATTGTATACGCTTTAAAATGGTGAATTTCATGATATGTGAATTCTATCTTAATAAGACAAAACAAAACCCAAAACTGCCCTGTTTAAACACTTTCTGTGTCCCCTGTTCATGACCTGCAGGACAGAGCACAGAGCACACATCATGCGCTTGTGCTCACACACGCGCGCACACACACACACACATGCACACACACTTCCCTGGGATGGTGCCCAAGTCCACCGCCCTCCAGCCCTCCAGCCCGGCCTGCCCTGCCCCCCGTCCTGCCCTTCCTCCCTCCCTCTTACACAAGAGTCTTCCCAGGCTCTGGCTCATGGAGTTCTCTCTGCCTACTGTGTGCTTACATGCTTACTACGTTCTCTTCTGGAGCTAGGCACTGTTTCCATTTTATAGATGAGGAAACAGAGTATCAGAGAGATGTAGCAACTTGCCCAAGTCCACACAGGGGGCAAGTGGTAAGGCTGAGATTCAGGCCCCAGAAGTGACTTCAGAGCCCGTGATCTGAACCTCTTTGCTCAGTTGCCTTCTGCCACAGGCTGAGCAGTGGGCCTCCCTGAGATGTCCACATGCTAATTCCTAGAACCCATGAATGCCGCCTTATATGGCAAAGACTCTGCGGATGTGATTAAGGATTTTAAAATGAGGAGATTATCCTGGTTTTTACAATCCGCAGGTGTTCTTATAAGAGGGATTATAGATGGAGGGCAGAAAGCAATATGAGGATGGAAGTAGAGAGATTTAAAGTTACTACCCTGTCAACTTTGGAGGAGGATGGAGGAAGGGGCCATGAGCCAAGGAATGCAGCTCTAGAGCTGGAAAGGGTGACGGGCAGATTACCCTCAAAGATCTGGAAGGAGCGTGGCCCTGCCAACCCCTTGGTTTCAGCCTGGTGAAACTGATTTTGCATTTCTGGCTTTCAGAACTGTTAGAGAATAAATGTGCACTGTTTTAAGCCACTGAGTTTGTGGTAACTGGGTTATAGCAGCCATAGAAAACTAATATGCTTTCCCTTCTAGAAAGGCCTATTCAGGGGCACCTGGGTGGCTCAGTCGTTGGGCGTCTGCCTTCGGCTCGGGTCGTGATCCCGGGTTCCTGGGATCGAGCCCTGCATGGGGCTCCCTGCTCTGCGGGAAGCCTGCTTCTCCCTCTCCCACTCCCCTTGCTTGTGTTCCTGCTCTTACTATCTCTTTCTCTGTCAAATAAATAAATAAATAAATAAAATCTTTAAAAAAAAAAGAAAGAAAGAAAGGCCTATTCAGCCTCCCAGGCCCCCTGGTCAGTGGCTCCTCCCTGCTCTGTGCTCCTTGTGGTTGCTCCTCACAGCTCCGACCCTGGAGGTTCTGTCGCTGCTCTGTGTTTACGCCAACCTTGGACCTCTTCTCTCACTCCCAGCACTGACATTGCCAGGCTGGTGTCATCTTCCAGTTGCCCAAGAGTAGGCACCGGCTCTGGGGCATGGCAGAGGAGGAAACTGAAGTTTCCAGAAGTACAGGAGTGGAGCACCAATGTAGGGAGAAATCCGGGCAGCAACCAGGAGGAGGTGTCCTAAAGGCAGCCAAAAGAATGGATCAGGACTCAGGGGACAGGTTGAGGCAGCAGACACATGGTAAGCAGAAACTGGGAAGGCTGTGGTGGCCATAGCTGCGGAGATAGTCAGGGAAGGTGTCCAAGAGGTGGCCAGTGCACCCATGGTCAAGGGCTCTTACGGAAAGGCCCTTTCCCTCATCTGCTGCTGCTGCCTCAGGGTACCAACCCCAGCACCCATCTAGGCCCATATGGAATTGGATCTTTCCTGATGGGCTTCATTTTAGGGAAAACCGACAGCAAATTCTAAACCAATAAGAGCAAATAAATGAGGGGTGATTACTGACGATAGAAGAGGGTACACCACGGGCTGCCTCCAAATAGCATCTCCTCCAGTACATTTTAAGTGCTTTATAGGTCATTAACTACTTGACAGAGAGAGCCTGACACTTAAAGCAAAGAATTCTGCGCCTCTGCCAGGGAAAATCAATCAGAAATGAAGATCGAGCATTGTCGATGTTAAGATGTACTGGGTGGGCAAACGGGATTCGATTTACACATAATTTTAAGGCCCTCTCCATTGTGTAAAGTGGGACACACTGGTATTTGAGGCCATCTGTAAATCCCAAACTTAACCCCCCCTGCCTTTTTGTTGTTGTTGTTATTGTTAATGAAATATTTCAAAGACACAGAAAAGTACAGAGATGAGCTTAACGTCTGAGTCCGCCACCTAACTCTGTCAAATAAAACATTACAGCTATGGTTGAAGTACCCACTTGTTAAAAATGTTACTTGCTTTTTCTTCCTGTCTTTTCAAATCCCTTCTGTCTTCCAGCCCCACCTCTTCAGGGAGACCGAGGCTGACCACCCATCCCTGCCCAAGACATCGCTCCTTCCTCTGAAATCGGAGTGTAATTACTGCCTCTTTAATTAACTTGGCGATTAATCACCACCCGCTTGTGAAACAGCTTTTATTGTCCTTGTCCATCTCATATGTGAGATGTGGATGGGGGTGGGGACCAGGCAGGCAGGAAGAGGGGGGACAGGCAGGCCGGGCTCTGCTGGAAAGAGAGGCTTGAGAAAGCCTCGTATCAGAGGATCAGCTCTCTCCTGACTCAGAAGCAGCAGCTGCCAGGTACCAGGAACTGAGGGGAGCTGAAGATAAGACCCCAGAAAGCAGTGGGCACTAGGAGGATAATCTGCTGTTGCTGTTCCCCTCTGACCAGAATGTTCTTTCTTCATTGAGCCTTGTTGCAGGCTGAATTGTGTCCCCCAAAACGAGATGTTGAAATCCTAACCTGTGAATGTAACCTGATTTGGAAATAGGGCCTTTGCGGATGTAATGAAGTTGAGATGAGGTCATACTGGACTAGCGTGGGCCCTAATCCAATGACTGGTGTCCTTATAAGGGGGCCTGTGAAGACGGAGACACAGGGAGAACTCCCTGTGCCTCCAAGCCAGCTCCTCTGCATGCCTGAACCTGGCCATCCAGGATCTTAGGTAGCATTTCTCTGGTCAGTTAATGCTCTCACCCAACTCCAGGAGCAGCTCCTACACCCTCTTTTTATCAGAGGAAACCTTCTCCTCTATCCCATCTCAGAGACTGCCCTTCAATCAAAAGGACCAGCCTGGGGGGGGGGCACCTGGGTGGCTCAGTCAGTTAAATGCCTGACTCTTGATCTCAGCTCAGGTCTTGATCTCAGGGTCATGAGTTCAAGCCCCACAGTTGGGCTCCATGCTGGGCATGGAGCCTACTTTAAAAAAAAAAAAAAAAAAGGACCAGTTTGGGATGGAGTGGGGTTTCCCAAGGACTCCCCTCCCCCTAGAATAGCATGCCTGCTCAAGTTAGTTTCCCTGTGGCTCCCCCCAGAAAAATCCTCCCACATGCCCCCAAACCCTCAGAGATGGGTAAGATAGCCTGGTTTGACCAGAGTGCTTTTAACGTCCCCTGTGATTTGTGGGGGAAGGGGTGCCAGGAAAGGAGAGGACCCAGAATTTAACATGGAGGCTAGAGATGTCTCATTCACACTGCCAAGCACAGTGCTACTACAGCATATTCACTGAAATAACCTTCCAAACCACTTTCTCCTCTGATCAATCTAATCTTTTGACAGATGGTAAACTGAGGCCCTGACACTCCGCAGTGCATCGCTGTGTAGAGATCTGAGGTCCAGTGATGTAAGCATGTCCCAGTATCAGCTCAGCCATCACTCCCCAGGTGACAGCATTTCTCTACACGTCAGTCTCCCCATTCTTTTTTTTTTTTTTTAAGATTTTATTTATTTATTTGAGAGAGAGAATGAGATAGAGAGAGCGTGAGAGGGAGGAGGGTCAGAGGGAGAAGCAGACTCCCTGCCGAGCAGGGAGCCCGATGCGGAACTCGATCCCGGGACTCCAGGATCATGACCTGAGCCGAAGGCAGTCGCTTAACCAACTGAGCCACCCAGGCGCCCCAGTCTCCCCATTCTTGAAAGGGAATAATAATACCATTTTCTAGGGATGTTACCAGCCTTAAAGATAGCTCCAAAAACCTTTATGCGCATTTCCCATTAATTCAATCAACAACATTTTGAGCACATCCTGTGTTCCAGGCCCTGGGGGATACACGGGTGAGCACCACAAACCCAGTTTCCCGACCTCAGGGTGCTACCTATTTGGTCGCCAAGGGCAAAGAATTGCAGTTATACTCGGGTGGTTGTTTTGATGGGGTGCACGGAAGCAGCGATGAAAAGGCTGCGGATCTCAGGAGGGCCCAAAAGAGCAGCGGCGGCCCCAGGAAAGAAAAGGCAAAGAATGAAACCCGCAACCCCCACCCCACTGCCTGAGCCGCTTCTTCATCTCAGCCAATCAGGCCTCAGCGTCGCCGGCCGGCCGACCAATCAGAGCTGGTACAGGAGCGCTTGTAGCAGGGCCCCGGCTTCCCGCGGGAGGGCTGCTGGAGCCCGCGCGCCGCGCCGCGCCGC